ATAGTTTTGTATCATTATATATAATTTTATATAACTATATCTTATTATATAGAATTTTTTTCCCTGGTAGATAAAATTATATATAATTATACAAAAATATAACAAATATATAATTATATATATTTATATAAAATTTTAAGTTAACAATTATGTATAATTAGATAAAATTATATATAATTATGTATAAATTTATATATTTATACAAAATTATATAAAATTATACATAATTATATTAAATTTTATATATATTTATATAAAATTATGAGACTTTTCTTATTTTACTGGCCTAGGTATGTAATATACTATTTCGGCTCCCCGTCGTAAAGCGCATGCGCGACTCGACCACGGCATAAATGTCAGGCTTTCTGCAGTGAAATCGCAACAGAAACCCCGTACTTTCGACCAGCGTAGTAAGAAAAAATTATTTTTTTAGTGTAGGTATCAATAAAAAATAATTTAATGAATTAGAAAAGAGATTAATTGAAATAAAATCGCAAAAAATCCGACTCTCGGTTTTATTTTTTTTCTTTTAAAAATTATTACATTATTAACATTTGAATGAATATTAAAAATAAAGTAAGTAGACAAAGGATTATAAAGTATTATTACGGAAGTTGGACGAGGCAGTTGTTCCTACAGAAAGAGAGTTTTGAAAATGATAAAAAAAAACAGACGATAAATTAATAAAATAGCGATTGTAAAAAAGATAATGAGTTTTAAACTACACGAAAGTTTGATAGAGAAATAAAAAAAGTAAGTGAAATAATATATATTTTGAGGTTATTTTATTGAGGGAAAAGTAAGAAAGACATTTATCAGCATTCCGTACAAAGTTTACCGCGGAAAAAAATACCGAGTCAGCGGTTTTTTCCACATGCTAAAACTGATAAATGGAGTTTAACTTTTAGATAAATTGCAAATTTATCAATTTATTGGTTAAGCATAAGAAACCCTGTTATGGAAAAATGACGCGGCTTTACTTCCTGAATAACTATCTAAAATAGCTAACTTAACTCTTAGCGAAGTTGTCGACGGTGTGGTAGATTGCTATGTCATTAGCCATCATAAATTAGAACTGAATGATCTCTGTGACGATTATCTGTCTATACATTGGATTTCAATGCACGTGGACTAAAGGGTTCGTAATTTGATGAGTTGTCGTGGACGTGAACATAAGCTTGAAGCTTATGTCACACAACTTGAGTACGCGTGAGATAGAAGTCGCTACTAGCTGTCGGAATGAGTGACGCATCGAGGTCTATTTGATTTAGATTAGGAAATTCACTACCGTTGGATGGCTGATAAACTTTTGTGTATCTTGAATTGTTTCTATCGAAAATTTAGTTCAAGTGAGATTATAAAGAATTCTTTAAGGTCATCCTGAACTTCAACTGTCGAAGGTGCAAATTTTTGAACTTTGATAATACAAAAGATTCATCTGATAATTTAGTACTTGGTCCCGTGTATCTGTTTATTAATTACTGGGGTAGATATTAAACTTTAAAATGTCCCATAGTAAACGCATGCGCTTCAGTCGCTTAGCGCGCCCGCTTTTTGTTTCGTGCAATTCGAGCGTTCTTAGTGAGTGCATAACTTTGGTGTCGCTTAAAATTTTTAAATAAAAATTTAATAAACAATTGTCTTTAATTAATTTTATTGAGACTCTGAAGTTAATTCGGGTTAGTGAGAATAGTCTTTAAAATACTCCCAACAATCTAATAAATATTCCGCCTTTATAAACTTTTATTGTAATTAATTTTCCTCTCAATAAATGTTTTTTTTTTATTCCATTTAGATTATCGATAATAAACTTCTCTATCCACAATGAAAGCTATTTAAAATAATAAAAAAAATATTTATAAACTAATAAAAATATTATTTTTATCTACTCTTCCCAATTGTAAATTCGGAATTCTCTCAGCTAAAATTCCTCAAAAATATTGTAAATAATAAAATACTATTATTTTAAACAATATAAATTTCCGCTAAAAGAAATCTATTTTTCGGTTATTTAATTACAAAATTCTGAATTATTTATTTGAAAACCCCATTTAAATAATTTTATTTCATCACCTATAATAAAATTCTCTATGGCTATATCAAGGAATTTGATCAGTCCATATGTAATCCAATAAGGTCTGATGTGTCTATTTACAATTTTTGAACTAAAAATTTTTCTGATATTGATTTTCACTTTAATTTACTCAACTAACTTTTTACTAATAATAAAACATGATTGTCTCAGACATTCTATAAAATCTATACAAAATAAAAATAAAATATTTACTAAAATTAAGTATTTTAAAAATTGTAAGTATATAAAATAGTAGTAATAAAAAATAAAAAAACTAACGAAACATTTAATATATTTACAGAAATAAAAAAGTCAACATACATACGTCACTACACAGGAGCTTTTTACGACACCGCAGCGCTGAAACGTCACCGTGACCGATCACGTCGCGACTTTTCTGTTATTGGAAAAGAAGTCGGCTCTACGCTGAATTTACATGTCAATGCTTTTGACAGGTACGTGGATTGACTTATAAGATTCATGTAAATCTAAAACCTTCATATACCTTTCATCCTCGAATCCTCTGCTGAGATCCATAAAACGTGAATTAAAATCTCCATAAAACCCAATTAAAAAGCAATCATCACCTGTATGAAAAAAAAAAAAGTATCTGAGAAAACGAATTTTTAGAGTGTAAATTGAACTAAATAGAGCGCATTGATAGATTTTTCTCGACTTGGCAATGTAATATAAATTCGTCCACTTGGGCTCTATCTTTTTGCACGTCTGCTCGCTGGGGAAACTCTAGCCACTAGTATTACAGTATTACTGGCTGGTATAACTCTCGCCTGTACTTCATACGAGTGACAAAATTCAATTCAATTCAATTCCATTCTATTCAATATAAATATTTACTCTAGAGTACACTGGTTCGCTAGTAAACTAACAACCTCCGAATTTACCGTGGATGCAACTAGTCGGTTTTATTACGAGGCCATGTTGACCCTTTTTTTCTTTTTTAAATCTATAATTTAAGTGATTGATACTTTTTTTACGGCGCGTGTTTGTATAATAGTATTGATTTTGATCGACGATGCAGCGAAAAAGTTTTTCTATGAACAAACAAATGGAATATTGTTTTTGATTTCAAGTTTTTGCTTTTCATTCTATTCATCCCACCAGAACAATTTTTTCAAATTCGATGGTAGCTTGCTGTTTGTTGATGTAAAGTTAAAAAATTAGGAAAACGGTTGACTCTGAAGACCATCCCTGCAACTTCCCGCTACTTTCGTAATTAAGGTATTACCCTCGCCAGAGTCGTTTTCTTAGGATTTTTTTTAAACTTTGGCAGGTTAATATTTATATAATTCTGCATCGATTGGCGCAATTTGAGAATTTTTGACCATCTAGTTTCCGAGATATTTAATTTCAAAGTTTTAGTTTTAAACGCTCTTATACATTTACGGTATACGGGATGTCGAAAAGTTTACCTACAAACACTTTTATATCTCAAAAACTTTTCTTAGGATCTTTTTAAAAAACTAGAGTGACGTTAACTGACAATTAAACAATTTAAAAAAAAAATTCATTGATAATTACCACACAGTTTCAGAGATATTTATTAATAAGTATAATTTATTAATGCAAACCTTACCGCAGACATCCTAAGCATTCGTGAATTCAACGCCAAAAAGAAGCAAGGTGTCTCAAATCTAAAGCATACATCTCATTCATATATTTTGCACTTAAAATCAGCTGATGTCTGTCATCATATTATTGATTTAAAGCGTCGGTCACCTAAACTCGAAAGCAAAAACATTTTCGACTCAAATTGCAGCACTGCTCTTGGTGGACAAATTTATATTAACGAATTTCTTCATGGTGAGGTTTATAAACTACTACAATCTACGAAAATAAAACCCAAGGAATCCAAATTCAAATATGTTTGGGTCCACAAAGGAATAATCTATGTCAAAAAGGATGATGATTCGTCGAAGTTCATGATTAACACTGAATCAGATTTAGCTAAGCTTCAATAGCAATTACCGCATCAAGCAAATGTCCCTTTATCATCAATAAATATACTAAGCTTTACCGGTGAATTAATTCATTTTTAATCTCTTCAATACGTCTTTGGCGTGAATTACCACCGGATGTCATCAATGGACTTAGTATTAACACCTTCAAGACAAAAGCTTATAAATTCTTTCATGACCTTGAGCTCAAGGAGAGCCTGATACCTGGTACTATTGAGGAAAATTCAAGTTGTTAAAGTTGTTAAAATTGGTATAATTTGCAGTACATTATATCTAACAGTCTGGCACTTATATTTTTAAAATCCTTGTTACTCCTATTTCATTCCACTTTGACTGATTGTAATTAATTGATTATTTTTCTTTTTCTAATTTTGTATTGTTAATGTGTTTATATAGATCTGTTTATAGTCTTACATATACTTTATATCACTTATTTTTGTATTTTTGCCATTTGGTTGATGCCTTGGCATATAAATCGAATAAATAAATAAAAAAAAATAAATAAGTAATGAAAAATTTACCAGACTTTAGCCGAGGAGGGGATACGTTAATAAAGCTGTGGCAACAGCGCAAGTTTTGTGAGCCGCGAAAGAAGTATGAGACGCGCATACGCTGACAAATTTGAAATGTTTAATTTACGTTAGGTGTAATATTGTAGTTATTAATTTTATTTATTTAAAAAAAATGACAATGATTATTTTATGAAAATAAGTATTTTTCTATATTTATAAAAATTCAAAAAGTTAACAATTTTAATATAATAATATTTATTAATCTTTCATAAGTTATAAAAATAATAGTCAGATGAAAAAATAAAAAAAATACTAAAATTTAAAATCAGTTTAAGACATCAACATAAAAATAGTATATTACATACCTAGGCCAGTAAAATAAGAAAAGTCTCAGACCACATGTAATTGTTGGCCGAGGCGAAGCCGAGGTTGACAAACATGTGGTCTGAGGCTTTACTTTTTACTGGCCAAGGTGTGTATACTATTTTTCTGCTCGACGTAGCCGGAATGTGGCAACTTTGTTTAGCGCAACGGCCAGAAAGTTGCCACTTTCCGGCCGGAGGGCAGAAAAATTAGTTATTGATTTTTCTGAAAAAACAAAACAATGTTGTCAATTATTTTTTTTTTATTTGTTATTTGCATAGTTATTTTCATATTTGCTAAAGATTTCTGTCGTTTTTCAAGGACTTTTTTTATGAATCGTCCTTTATAAGTCAATTTTTCAGACGTTGTAATTATATTTCTGAATAAATGTATGTAAATAAATAAATAAACAGCAAAAAGTTTTAGGTTTGTCAATAATGACTATCCAGTATGTGTACCGTACACTCTAGCATAAACTTTTGACAACGGAAGTCGCGAGGGTAATACCTTAAGCGCTCAAAATTGCACTTATTATGTTTTTGAGCTCTTCGAGCTCAAAAATATAATTTTCGTGTAGTTTTGAGCTCAAATGTCTGATAAAAGTTTAATAAAACACTGTTTTTTGAATTTTCAAACCGCAATAACTTTTGAATGAATGTACCGATTTTCACGCGGTTAACGGCATTCAACGCATTTTTTCAAATTCTATAATATATTTTTCAACACAAATTGATCAGACTGGAAATTTCGTTGTAATTCGAAAAAAAACACTTTTTTCGATTTCTTTCGTCAACGATAACTCACGAACGAATCAACCGATTTTGACCGTCTTGGTGGCGATCGACGTGGTTTTTCGATGTCAAGAGCTGATTATTTTCTGGAATTGATCGGTCAAGCCGTTTGAAAGTTATTCCAAAAAAATCCACATTTGAAAAATTGTTCGTATTACAGCTGCCAAAAGACGTATTTTAGAGGATGCTGACCTATACTACAGCCAACACAAAGACGGTCAGTTGGTACAACTGTCAAAGCTGGAGCAGCGCTCTCGCAGGAAAAAAATGCTTGACAAAATGTCAATGGTGCCAGGTAAATTGGACCACGCAACAATAGTTGCCTACGTTGTCGGTTCATTCAAAAATACTGATTGAACAATTTTATTACACTATATACCTAAACTCCAAATTTTATCGCAATACAATATTTGTTAAATATTTTTTTCTTATATATTTATATTAACATTTACAGATTTTCTATAAATATTTAATTATTATTATTATAATTATATTTACCAAGTAGTATGATGTACTAGTGTCCTATTAATCAAAAGTTATTAATCCCACTTATTAATAATTATTGTATTAATTATATAATTCACTGCCTAATTAATTATTTCCAAGGCCTACGGATTAAATAATAGGAATTGGATTTTAATTGTTTATTATTAATAAACTGATGAGAATCAATATTGACTTATTGACGTAATAAACTATTGATAATAATGACAGTAATTACTATGTATAAAAATAATTGATATTTTTGTAGAAACAATAGAATATAAAAAAATTAATTACGTAAACTTCCTGTTGAGAAAAACAAACTATATAAATTTATTTATTTTATGTCTATTAATTGCACAATTAATCGAGGCAGCTTACTAAATAATTATTAATTTCTTTATAATAATAATAATAATTATTATTATCATTGTTGGTATTATTGTGATCATAGATTTATTGTAAGTTAATCATTTTTCTATGTTACTTATTTTTATTACATATCGTCACATTTTTTACTTGCATTTGTATTTCTTTTTATATTTTCAATTGTAATTAATCTAATTATTAATAAAGTTATGATTTGTTTAAATATAAAAAAGTGTGGATTTATTTTGCAACCAGCTACCTTGCAGTCACTATGTGACTGCCGTGACTTGTGAACTATAAATAAATAAAATTTTGCTTTACTAAATAATGACTTTTGTTAAATTGCACTGTACTTTCTTAAATATTGAGATTTTTTAAGATATAAGCTCATCCCGATGATACACTCATTAAGAGCTTTCATTTGAGTACCCACATGCATTTTTGATATATTTTTCGTATATATATATATATATAAATATATGAAAAATTGATGTGGGTACTCAAATGAAAGGTCTTGATAAGTGTAACGTCGGGATGAGCTTATATTTGTAAAAATGTCAGTAGTTGACAAGATACAAGGTCATTTCTTAAATATTGATAATTTTAAAGATATAAGCTCATCCTGATGTTATACTCGTCAAGAGCTTTCATTTGAGTACCCGCATGCATTTTTGATATATTTTTCATATATACATATATATAGTATATATAAATCTATGAAATATTGATGTGGATACTCAAATGAAAGGTCTCGATAAGTGTAACATCAAGATGAGCTTATATCTTTAAAAATGTCAATAGTTCACAACATACAAGGTCATTTTTTAATTCTGGAACTAATCGTTTTCTATTTCGTCCAATCTACGTTTGAAATCATTTTATAGAATAGATTTTCCATAAATTATCACTTTCCGTTATTAAACAAAGACCCTCATAAGAGCTCATATATTTCCGCAGAATTTTAGTTAATTATATATCTTCAACAGTGAGGATAAAAAATCTGATTTTTTTTTATAAACCCATATGAATACAATCTTCCGAATCAATTAAGGAAAATTTGGAGTCAAGTTTGTGGGAACTATTTCAAAAATTCTCTTAATTTGAAATTTCCCGCCTTTTTAAAGCGTAGTTCTTTTATTTGCCGCTAGATGGCGCTCGAGATGTTCTTCTCGCATGTGCAGTAGCATTTATGGCATTTTTAAAATATTTGTAAAATTTTTAAAATCAAAAACTTTTTCCGAACTTTCTTCTTAATAACTTACGGAATGTTTAAGATTTTGTTGTACTTTTTGACATTATTTTACGAATTTCTGTACAATTTTGAACTAAAAATCTGTTTTTTGATAAATTTAAAGTGAAAAAAATTTGGGATTAATTCACTTAACAAAGAAGATGATATAAATTACAATTATATCAAATAAATAATTAAAAAAAATTGCAAGGTAAAGAAGAAATAAAAATACAAATTTAACTTTAAACATTTTCGTTTATTTTTTTTTGTTTTTTTTTTTCATGCAATTTTTTAAAAAGTGTATGTACAAGTCTTATTAAATTTCAATAATTATGCAAATGTAACAATGTGAAAAATAATTAATTAATAATTACATAATTAATTATTTGTAAGTACAGGTCGTTTTTTGTTTCGTCGTTGACTAAAAGGAAATAAATAATAAAAAATAAATAAAAAAAAAATTGTGACGAAAAATTTCGACCTGATTTAAAAAATAATTATTTATATATAATTATATATATATATATATATATAGTTATAATAATTTTTATACAATAATTACTGTACAAAATAATTAATTAAATAAAAACGTTTTTTTTTGTTTTTTGTATTTAAAATTTTTTTGATATTTTCTAATTATTTTCAACAACTATTTACATTTTATCGACAGCCGATCACTTCAAAATTTTTTAATAATTAAGTGAATACAATAATAATAACAATTTTAATTAATAATAATAATAATAATAATAATAAAAATAATAATAATGAACAATGATTGAGTATTTATAAAAATTGAACAAATTACAAAAATGAACACTAATTTTATTTTATTTAAAAAATAATTACTTATATTTATGAGATTTAAACAAGAAAATGGAATAATGAGATTATTAATTAATAATTATTAAAATTTGGCGATTAAAATAATAATAGTGTTAATTTTTACCAACAAAATTTGAGCAAACAAATTTCTTCCTGAAATTTTGCACAATCTAGAGACACGGTAGAGTTCAGCGCCAAGTTTAATTTCACTTGGCGGCGCTAGTGTCAAAAGACCGCGCAGCAGTTCCGATTGTTCCAACTGTTCCAATTGTTCCATGAGCGTATTTTTAACCAAAAACCGAAAACTAAATGAACAATTTGCTCTAAAAAATAGTTAATTATAATAATCGACAAATTACTTATAAAATATCATAATTCTACCTGAGATTAAATTATCTATCAATAATAATAATAATAATCATCAGTAAAAATACTCATAATAATAACTTGGTCATTATCTATCAAATAATTAATTAAAAGTTCATTAATTAGAACAACCGACCCAGAAAAGAAAAACAAATTTACATCAAAACATTGAGCAGTTTATAAAAATTGAGCGAAGAAATATAAATGCAAACATGGCAGCTAGAATAATTAAATATGGCAGTTCAAAAGGGGGGGGGGCTATGAAATATGGAACATTATCTAAGAATTAGTGATTTTTGTGATAAGTAGTAGTGGGCTTTGAGGTTAATTGTCATTATTAACCATGTTTAGGGTTATCATTTGATTTATCTGAACGCTTGGTCCGCGGTAGGTGTCGTTGTTAGTGCGCGAATTGCTGTTTTGCGCACTAGGTGTTGGTCCCGTTTCTTCTGGTGATTCTGAGCTTGATGAACAATCACCGCGTACTAGCACAGTGTTCAGTACATTGTCTCGTTGTTCCGTTGCAAATTTTTTGTTTTTTGTATTTAAAATTTTTTTGATATTTTCTAATTATTTTCAACAACTATTTACATTTTATCGACAGCCGATCACTTCAAAATTTTTTAATAATTAAGTGAATACAATAATAATAACAATTTTAATTAATAATAATAATAATAATAATAATAAAAATAATAATAATGAACAATGATTGAGTATTTATAAAAATTGAACAAATTACAAAAATGAACACTAATTTTATTTTATTTAAAAAATAATTACTTATATTTATGAGATTTAAACAAGAAAATGGAATAATGAGATTATTAATTAATAATTATTAAAATTTGGCGATTAAAATAATAATAGTGTTAATTTTTACCAACAAAATTTGAGCAAACAAATTTCTTCCTGAAATTTTGCACAATCTAGAGACACGGTAGAGTTCAGCGCCAAGTTTAATTTCACTTGGCGGCGCTAGTGTCAAAAGACCGCGCAGCAGTTCCGATTGTTCCAACTGTTCCAATTGTTCCATGAGCGTATTTTTAACCAAAAACCGAAAACTAAATGAACAATTTGCTCTAAAAAATAGTTAATTATAATAATCGACAAATTACTTATAAAATATCATAATTCTACCTGAGATTAAATTATCTATCAATAATAATAATAATAATCATCAGTAAAAATACTCATAATAATAACTTGGTCATTATCTATCAAATAATTAATTAAAAGTTCATTAATTAGAACAACCGACCCAGAAAAGAAAAACAAATTTACATCAAAACATTGAGCAGTTTATAAAAATTGAGCGAAGAAATATAAATGCAAACATGGCAGCTAGAATAATTAAATATGGCAGTTCAAAAGGGGGGGGGGCTATGAAATATGGAACATTATCTAAGAATTAGTGATTTTTGTGATAAGTAGTAGTGGGCTTTGAGGTTAATTGTCATTATTAACCATGTTTAGGGTTATCATTTGATTTATCTGAACGCTTGGTCCGCGGTAGGTGTCGTTGTTAGTGCGCGAATTGCTGTTTTGCGCACTAGGTGTTGGTCCCGTTTCTTCTGGTGATTCTGAGCTTGATGAACAATCACCGCGTACTAGCACAGTGTTCAGTACATTGTCTCGTTGTTCCGTTGCAAATTGATGGAATGCGCGTGCTGGTACTTGGACTGTTATTTCTCTGTAAGAAAAAAAAATTATTATTATTATTAGCTACGAAGAAGCAATAATTATTATTATATTGTTTTTAAATTAATTAAAGTACCTAGATTGTTAGGAGAAATTGTAAATTTTTTATGGAATTTTTGTAATAGAAAAAAAATTTTTTTTAATTAATAGTTTTGAGAAATATATATTTATTAATAGAAGAAAAAAAAATTTATTAAATATTATTAAGAGAAAGTAAAAGAAAAATATTTAAATAATTTATTTGTTTAGGTAATTTTAAAATTATAAATTATTTTTTTTAATTTGAATTTTAGCGGGGTAGTGACGAGTGTTATATCCGGCGCGCAGTGCCATCTTACAGAAATATTGAGAACTATTTTGTTATGTTGCTTTCTCAAATTAATAAATGGCTTTTTGGTAGTCCCATAATAAAATTGAGATGAAATGTATGTGGCATCAAACTATTCGTAACGTGATTGGTAGAATATATCATAAGCATGAAAATATATGCAAACTTTATTATAGTCAAGGCGTGCGCTTGCGCGCGTAAATTTAAATTCTAGTCCCATAATAAAATTGAGATGAAATGTATGTGAAACCAATTTATTCGTGATGTGATTGGGCGAAAATAAATATTCTCATTCTGATTGGTTGAAAGTGAATATAATATACATAAACGACACATAAATATATCATGACAATAAATATGACGCGCGCGCTTGCGCGCGAAAATTAAATTCTAGTCCCATAATAAAATTGAGATGAAATGTATGTGGCATCAAATTATTCGTAACGTGATTGGTCAAATATATCATAAGCATGAAAATATAGATAA